CAGGGCGGAGGGCAACGGGGGAAGCCGGCAACCCAGGCGGCCAGGATGCCTGGGCGCCCAAGACCCACCAAAGTTGTGATATGGTCCAGAATACAGAGTTCCAGAATTCTTTCTAGTGTCAAAATCTCACGCGTGTCACAAACTCCATACTTCCAAAAAGTTCCCAGGGGCCAGGAGTCCGAAATCCAGTCGATCACGATTACTGAAAATCCCAAACCCACCATTGCTGCAAGCCAGAAACTAACAAACAATGGAAACCGCTTGAAATTAGAGGATTGCACCAACCAGTCAGCATGTTCAAAGATACCCATGGCCGGGGAGCAGTGATGCGCAGAGCTGTATGGAGAGGAGAAGGAACATCAGCAGGAGGACCAACAGGAGGGTGGAAGAAGAACGCGGTAGGAGACAAAGATGAAGCAGCAGCGGCAGCAGCCGCGATTCCACGGAATTCCCTCAAAAAGAAGCGTCAGGAGGCAAATGTGAAACAACAGCGCCCGCAGCAGCAGCAGCCGCAGCAGCCGCGATTCCACTGAAATTCCCCAAAATGGTATCCCTTCCTGGTAGACCGTTCCCCCGCCCCCCTCCCTCCCTCCCTCCTCCTCCTCGTCATCCTCATCCTCCTCGTCGTCGTCGTTCTCCTCCTTCTCCTCGCGAGCCCCCCTCGGCCTCCGCCCCGAAGGTGAAGGACACGCCCCGGTCGTTGTCGCCCCAGGTGGCCACCTCCTGGAGGGCGGGGGGGATCTCGCGGAAGGGTATTATGGGGAGGAAGGCCCGTCCTCCTCCTCCTCCTCTTCCTCCTCCTCCTCCTCCTCCTCCTCCTCCTCCCTCTTCTCCCCCTCCTCCTCCAACCCCTCATGCATATCCTGCTCCTTCCTCTGGTCCTCCCCCATTTCTCCTCCTCCTCCCCCTCCTCGGGAGGGGAAAGAGGAGAGGAGGAGGAAGAGTCGGGAGAGTGGTAGTGGCGGTTGTGGTGGTGCTGGTGGTGCTGGTGGTTGTGGTGGTGGTGGTGGTGATGATGGTTGTGGTGGTGGTGGTGGTGGTGGTGGTGGTGGTGGTGGTGGTGGTGGTGGTGGTGGTGGTGGTGGTGGTGGGGAGGAGTAGGAGGAAGAGGAGGAGGAGGACGAGGAGCAGGAGGAGGAGTGGGGAGGAGAAGTGAGGAAGACGTAGACGACCATGACCACGAAGGTTGGGAAAGCAGAAGGGAGGGGGGGGTGACGGAAACCGCTGTACGAGCAACCATCCTGCGGGAGGAGAGAAAACCAGAACGAAGGGCAAAATAGGGATCGAATGGGAGGCGCGAGGAGGAGAAAGGGGATAGGGGGGGAGGAGTAGCGCACGGGGGAGAGCACGTAAGGTGGCGAGGAGGCGAGGAGGGAGGGCAGGGGGGGAAACGAGGACAGAGAGGGGAAGGAGGAGGAGAAGGAGGAGGAGGTGGAGGAGGAAGAGGAGGAGAAAAGAGGAGAAAGACGGCGACGACGAGAGGAATGATAATACGCGTAGGAGGAGGAGGAGAGGAGGAGGAGGAGGGAGGAGGAGGAGTAGGAGGAGACCCACCTTGACTCCCTCAGCAACCCTTGGAACCTCCAAGAACGCCACGCCTCTCTGAAGCCCTTCTCCCCCCCTCCATCCCCCCCCTTTCCCGCACTCCCCTTCTCCTCCCCATCCTCCTCCACTCCTCCTCCTCCTCCTCCTCCTCCTCCTCCTCCTCCTCCTCCTCCTCCTCCTCCTCCTCCTCCTCCTCCTCCTCTTCCTCCCTCATCCCTCCCGCCTCCTTGGTCCGTAGCCATTTTGGCTGAAGCCGCCGTCCTGGCTGCGAGGTCCTTTTCAGCACACTGGGTGTTGCTGCAGGACCCCGTCCATCGGGACAGCTGCCATGCGCGCCAGCCGCCGCTTTCGCTGCTGGCATGCTCCGGCTGGCCGCGCTCACGAGGCAGATCCGGGACCCTCCCCGAGGCTCACACGCGCTGTTTTTCGGCGACTGGGCTATTGTGCGCGCGTGAGCCGTGCGCCTAGGATCAAGGACGTCGCGTACTTGGCCAAACACTGCTTGCACTCGGACACCGTCATCACTTTGGCTTCTGTCAATGCCCCAGCGGTTCCGCCCGGCATCTGGCAGCCACCAGATTTCGCGCCCGAGGCCCCTGCGATGCAGTTGGATACGCTGCTCACGGCACTCGGCGTCGTCGCGCCCGCTGTCGAAGCGGTTGTGCCCAAGGGGATGAACAAGCACGCAGGCTCTCCAGAAGCTGCTGGCAGCTTGTCTGGTGGAGCGGAGGTGGGCATGCGCCCTGCCGCAGCAGCCCCCACCTCGCCCGACATGCCGCAGCCGCCGCCGACAATTTCGTCACGATCTGGAGAGCGCCACAGGATCTGCCAGCGAAGGATCTCGGACATTCTCTCGCAGTACGACCCCGACTCTTTGTTCAGGATCGACTCCTGGTTGACCAAGTACAAGGGCTCGGAGGACATACTCTATGTCAAGGTGTGCAAGAAGTACGGT